CCCCAAAAATTGGGTAAACGCGGGAAGTATCCGCTGAAACCGATTGACACCGACGAACCGGTTGGCTTTTTCGAAGTTGATCCGGAGAAGGACCACGTCTGGAAGTGGACTGAGGACGACCGATCAACGGCGGTGGGTTTGTGCCCTATATGTCTGCATGTAATGTCGACCGACACCATGGACAGCATCTATGAGACTTGTTGCTTGCATGTATTCCACAGGCGATGCATCTCAGTCTGGTTGTCCAAATCCCATTCCTGCCCCACATGTAGCTTTCAGCTTTCGTAACTATTTTCTGATCTCTAAAGATACAATTTTTAATGCATAGGATGATCATTTATTTTATTTAGTTTCTATCATCATTGGAAATCGAATTTTTGTGTATATTGAATGAATGGTCAAGGAGTGAATTATTAGCCTTTTGATGGGTCTCATTCGGAGGACTGCTCCAATAATGTTGTTCCTTTATTTTTATATATGTATATATATTTTTACCAATTTGGATTTTGATGAGCTTTTTTCTGAATTGGTGTGTTGTGGAATGTGTGGAAGAAAGTCTCAAAATCATACTCTTCTATTTATTTATCTATGAGTTAAATCTCTTTATGTACTTGGGGGGAATATTACTGCACCTTAGACTATTCAAGAGATGGTTGTTAGGCTTACCAAGTGAACTCCATTTGTCATAATCTTACCACCTTTATTCTTAAGATTTTACCATTGCATTTGCAAAACCAATAAATTTATGTTTTCCCTAATGAAGCTAACCGTTTACTCTGCATTACCATCTAAAATAGATTGCTGCCACACATGGCACAACGATATTTCATACCATAGCTCCAAATCCTTCACCAAGGAGAACCAATATAGAATTATGCAGATTAAACCAGTCCGATGGTTGGACTTCAAGAATTTCAACTGGTCAATAGTTTGTATGACTTGATACAATCATTTATTTATGGTGTTAACTCTAGAAAAAAATAAGAAAAAACCCATTTAGATTCTCCCCCCTATTCCACCTGGATGATTCAATTCATTCCTAGAAGGTGAGTGCAAAGGGTTAAGCCAAGTACTATTATGCTGAGGTAAAGCAGCTACACAATATGTTCTGAAGGCTGGAATTCATTGTCTGCCAAAGTTCTTCCTAGCGTACAAAAGGACATGGCTCTATTCACACCCATAACCACCAGCATGCGATTGATGGTCAGGTAAAGGGTTCTACATAAGTTAAATGTTTTTTACTGGGTAATTATTTTTAGTTTGTCGCATTAAGATACTTTGAGTAACAAAAAGCATGACCTATCCTCTCTATCTATGAACAACAGTTTTAGTCAAATGTTCTATAATCTTGTATGAGTCAAACTCAATTACGACCAGTCTCTTAACCACATCTTGCTTTGATTTAATGCAGAGCAAAAGGTGTACCCTTCCTTTCAGTACAACAGTTTTATTTAATCCGTTTTATTTGTTATGTTCAACTTGATGGACTTGTTCGTTTTAGTGTAGGCTAAACATTTCCTTTTTTTATTTTATTATATATATATATATATATATATATATATATATTAATTCTTGGTTTGTTAGATATTTTAACTGTTGTCTATTGTCCTTTCTTATGTTTATAATATATTTGCCATTGTAATCTTTCGATTGCATTAGCTCTGCATTCAATATAAAGGGAGCGATGCAAGGCCCCGTCTGTTGGAAAATTGAGAAAGGTCAATGGCTTTACACTTGTCATCCATTTCCCGAGTTTAGCATGGATGACTGGGCCCATGATGAGGATCTTTATGATCTAAGCTATTCTGAATTGGTAAAGACAATGAATTTTAATAGCATTTTATTTTATGCAGTTTCTGAATTTATGTTGCTTGGAGTAATTTTGCAGCAATTTAGTTAAGGTAAATGATATCTATGCTCCGAGAAAAGGCTGAGGCAAATCATTTCTAATGGCACATGGACTCAAGAAGTGGAGTGTCTTGGGCCATTTTGGAGAGCCAATATCATCTCTCCTTTCATAAATACTTCTAATTTGTTATTCTTCTTTGTGTGGATAAATTCATTTTTTTTCCCACTATATTTCAGATACGACTGTGTGTACCTTATAAACACCGTGTGTACGCTAAGGGAAAAATTAGTGAAAGAGGGAGGTATCCACTGAAACCGGTTGTGACCGACGAACCGGTAGGCTTTTTCGAAGTGGATCCTGAGAAAGACCATGTCTGGACGTTTGGTTGCGGACTAAGGACGATGATCGATCAACGGCCGTGGCGGTTGGTGTGTGCCCTATATGTCTGGATGTAATGTTAACGGAGACAGAGGAGGAAATCGTGGTTGAGACTTGTTGCTTGCATGTATTTCACAACTGATGCATTTCACGCTGGTTGTCCAAATCCAATTCCTGCCCCACCTGTCGTCTTCAGCTTTGGTAAGTATTTTATCATCTCTAAAGACATAGTTTAGTGTCTAAGATCATTTATATTTATTTATTATTATTATTTTCTTCTGATAATTGGAATTCGGATATGTGCAGAGAAGAATCTAAATTTTTATGTGGTTATTGAATATTGAATGGTCAATCCAGCTAGCATTCATCAAATGTAAAGAATGAATTATTAGTATTTTGATGGGTCTTTGTGGAGGCCTGCTCCAATAATGTTTTCTTTTTTCCCCTTCAATTTTAGCAATTTGGATTTAAAGAGTTTGGTACCAAATGAATTCCATTTGTCCTAATCTTGCTACCTTTATTATGCATTTATTCTCATGAGATTTTACCACTCCATAAGCAGAACCACCAAATTTCTGTCTTCCCTAATGAAGCTAACCCATACTCTGTATTACCATTTAAACTTTAACAGATAGGGGACATGGAGGATCTAACTTCCAATTTGGGTACAGAGTGGCTTCCCTTGCCTTCCTTCAAGGCGAAGGCATATTTGGGTGCTATTTTGAATAGTTTCAGCAGTGGATTAAGGATGGACCAGCAACATCTCCTTTTGAGAAGGCAAGGATTAATCTTATAAAGAGTACATTGTCTAGGATTCATGTCTCCCTTCACCAGTCCTGCATTGGTGGAACGAGATTGAATAAGCTCCATGAAGATGATCTTTTGGGAATTGGGGAGGACATAAGTTCCATTTGGTGGGATAGAATAAGGTTTGCCTCCTAGTTAAGGATGGAGGGTATGGAATTAGGGAGCTCAGGGTGTCTTATTGAGCATCGCTGGAGTAGTGCCCTTCGGGATTTGCTAGGAAGGAATCCTTGTGTCGAAGACTTGTAGAGCACAAGTGTGGATGTTCTTGGGGTGATTAGGTGTTGAGGGAGGTGGATTCTTGAAACTGAGTGGGCCTGGAGGGTGCTACAAAAGATCAGGAGGAACTCCTACTTCATGTTTATCGTCTAGCGGAAAGGAGTTAGAGTCAGATTTTGGCATATGTTTGTGAAAGAGACCTTAAAGATAGGTTATCGGAACTTTTCCAGATCACAACAAATAAAGATGCCTTGGTTGCAAGTTTATATATATTTCGCCCACTGGTGTGGTTTGGATCCCTAGAATAGAAGAGATTTGCAGGACTGGGAGATGTACTAGTTACGGCCTTAATTGGAAATGATGCAAGGGACCAGGTTTTGTGGTGAAATGGAAGATGAGTTAATGGAGTTCCGCTTAAGGTATATTCTCAAAAAGGTGGCATCTAGTAGCAGATTAGCTTCTTGTCCTTTTATTAGGTACACTCTAGGGGAGGGGGCATCTAGTTTCCTTAGAAGTTGTATTATCACAAAGGCCTCCCTCAGGGTGGCACATTTTTGCTAGGTTAGCACCTATGGATTCTGTTATTGCTACAGATAATCTGAAGATGAGAGTTTTGTATTTCCAGTTGGTGTTACAAAAGTATGGGTGCTGAGGAAGCTGTGAGCCATCTTCTTAATTGTGGAGTAGCAACTAATTTTTGGGGCTTTCTTTTCTCCTCAGTGGTGGTGCTTTGGCCACTCCAGGGGCTGTAATTGATGTGCTTAGAGGACTGGGAAGGTTGTAAGAGGCTGAGATCTAGGAATGTATGGGATGTAGCTCCCTTTGTTTGTTGTGATTCATTCTGCAGGGAAGGAATTGGAATTTGAAGGAGAGGAATATCTCAGTTCCCACTTAAAGATTGAAACCAATACTTTTTGAGAACACGATACCTCTGGATATAGAAGACTGGAGTCTTATACTTATTTTGTAGTTTCTTTTGTAGAGTTTTTGGCAGATATGAGTTATTTTCATGGCTTTTGTATGAAGTTGTATACCTTGCAAGTAATAGGCGATTTCAAGATTGAAAAGAATCTGTATATTGCCGTACAAAGAATGGTTTACAATGCTTTAGTTAAATAGGAAATACAAGGAGCTAAAAAAAGGAAACTACAGGCTGTGACTACAGGTTGTAACAGGAAACTACAGGTTGTGACTACAGGCTGTAACTACAGGCTGTACACTAACAGAATTTCATAATCTTGGTCATTGACTATCTATATTTATACGCCTATCATATCCCCTAAAATTTGGTCTTATTAAAACCGAATATCTCTTTTTCAACACTCCCCCTCAAGCTGGCTTGTAGATGTCTTCCATAGCTAGCTTGCTTCTTAAAACTTCAAACTGTCTCTTATGTAGTCATTTGGTAAGGATGTCTGCAGCTTGTTCGGTAGTAGAGAATGCAAATCATACCACAGTCAAGCTTTTCCTTGATGAAGTGTTTGTCAACTTCCACATGTTTGGTTCTGTCGTGGAGGACTGGATTATGAGCAATTGAAATGGCAGCCTTGTTGTCACAGTAGACTCTCATTGGAGGAGAAACAATAACCTTCAAATCTTCAAGGAGTCTTTTTAACCACATAGCTTCGCAAATCCCATGGGCGAGTGCTCTGAACTCGGCTTTTGCACTACTCCTCGCTACTACATTTTGTTTCTTGCTTCGCCGCGTGACTAAGTTTCCTCCAACGAAGGTGCAATATCTTGAGGTAGATCATCTATCAACTATACTGCCTGCCCAATCAGCATCTGCGTACACCTCAACTTGCAAATGACCTTGTTTCCTGAACATATGTCCTTTACCCGGTGAGCCCTTTAAGTACCTCAGAATCCTGTACACTACTTCAAAGTGTTCCGATTCAGGAGAGTGCATGAACTGACTCACCATACTGACTGCAAATGCTATATCTGGGCGTGTGTGAGATAAGTAAATCAGTCTTCCCACCAATCTCTGATATCTTTCACGATCAACCATATTCTTAGGTTCGGCAGCTTCTAACTTCAAGTTAACTTCAATTGGAGTGTTAGCAGCTTTACACCCGAGTAGTCCTCTCTCATTAAGCAAATCAAGTACATATTTTCGTTGATTCACGAAAATTCCTTCTCTTGACCTGACAAATTCCATTCCAAGGAAGTATTTTAATGCTCCCAGATCTTTGACTTCAAAATCTTTAGCAAGTTTCTTCTTCAGTCTGGTTAACTCTTCAATGTCATCACCTGTCAAAATTATATCATCCACATACACAATTAAAACGGCAATTTTCCCTTCCTCACCATGTTTGTAGAACATGGTATGGTCTCTGATGATACCCATGACTCTTCACAGCCTTTCCAAAGCATTCAAACCACGCTTTTGGAGACTGTTTCAAACCGTACAGGGATTTTTTGAGTTTACAGACTTTGCTCTGATCGTGTTTTCCTTCGAACCTAGGTGGCAAGCTCATAAACACTTCTTCTTCAAAGTCTCCATTTAAAAAGGCAGTTTTTTATGTCCAACTGATGTAATGCTAGACTGCCAATGACAATAAGACTCGGATAGAATTTATTTTTGCTACAGGAGTAAACGTCTTTTGGTAATCAATGCCGTACGTTTGCATAAAACCTTTCGCCACAAGTCTTGCCTTGTACCGTTCCACACTACCATCAGCTTTACACTTAATAGTGAAAACCCATTTACACCCAACAGTTTTCTTTCCTTTGGGCAAGTCAACTATCTCTCACGTTCCACTCCTTTTAAGAGCATTCATCTCCTCTAACACTGTTAATTTCCAATTCGGATCATCTAGTGCTTTCTGAATGTTTTTGGGAACAAACAAGTGAGAAATATTTGAAGCAAAAGCCCTATGTTTATGGGAAAGTTTATCATAAGACAAGTATTTGGCAATGGGATGCTGGGTACAGGTTCGGATTCCTTTTCTAACAGCTATAGGGATATCAAGGTCTACAGGAACTTGGCTAGGTGACTCTGTATGATCAGAAATAGTAGGGACAACTGCAGACAAGTTAGGATTTAGAGTACCTTGAGTGTTCAGGGAGTCATTGCTCGGGACCTCTGATTGGCCTTGCTCAGGTACAATAGTGGGCTCTTTACTCTTTTGATGAGTCTTTTTCCTGTTATAAACCAGAAGCTCAGGATTCGGTTTTTTTGGAACCGTTGGTAGGATTTCTCCCCCTGTTGGAGATACAGTAAGGCTCGACAGATTAGGACTAGGAGGCCTCGGGTTTCCTGATTCTAGAACATCATTTCCCTGTTTAAAAAGATCAGTGTTCGGAGTAATAGAGTGTGAGACAATAGTTTTAGGTAAGGGAATATTAGTAGAAATCTCGCAAAAATTTTCTTCACTCTCTTTCTCCCCCTGAAGAAAAGTTTTCTGAAAATAAGGATGATTTTCTAGAAAAAAAAACATTCATACTGATAAACATTTTTTTTTTGTTTTCGGATTGAAGCATTTGTACCCCTTTTTATTTGGGCCATACCCAACAAATACACATTTTTCAGCTTGACGATCCAATTTAGACCGAAGTCTACTAGGTAAATGGACAAAGACAGTGCACCCAAATACTTTCAAAGGCAGGTTGGAATAAATCCGAGTTTCAGGAAAAGATTTTTTAAGGCTTTCAAGGGGTGTAAAATAGTTAAGAACACGAGTAGGCATCCTATTAATCAAATATGTTGCTGTCATAGTTGTTAAAGGCGCCGAAGGCGCGCGCCTGAGGCGCAAGGCGCCTCTAGGCGCCATCTCAGCGCCTTTAGTGACTTAAGGCGCAGGGAGTAAAGAAGGCGTGCGCCTTTACCAAACAGGCGCCAGGCTACAGGCGTCCCAAAGGCGCGCCTGCTTGCAAAATGCAATTTTCTTTATTGGTTTAGTTCTGTTTGTTTATTTTTTTTTATGTATTGTTATATTATTATTATTTATATTATATTATTTTATTAGTTAATTGAATAGAAAACCTACAAGTTACATTGTTACAACATAAAAAAACAAAAAAAGAAAAGAGAACAAAAAGCAAAGGAAAGAAGACAGACTCGACAGAGGCAGCGACGACTTGGACTCTCAGTCTCGGAAGTCAGATCTGCCGGATTTGTGTCGGATCTGCGTCTGCGACTCTGCCGGTAAGTTCTCTAACTTCTCCTTCTCTCTCTTCTTCTTCTCTTCTTCTTCTCTCCTTCTTCTCTCGTCCTCTTCTCAGATTTGCTTCTTCTCTTCTCTTCTGCGACTTTGCAGATATTTTATTTCTTCTTTTCTTCTTTTTCTTTTCTTCTTCTTCTTTTCTTCTCTCTCTCGGCCGAGTCGAGCTTGGCAGATTTTTTATTTTATTTTTCTTCTTTTTAGTTTTTTATTTATCTTTATTTTATTTTTTTATTTTTTTTCTCGAGTCTGGACTCTGGACTGTCTACAGCTCTTCTTTTTATTTGAAAGAGTTTAGTTTGTTTGTAGAGTTGGAGTTGTTATTTAAGATGGTCGGTGTTTTTTTTTTTTTTTTTTTTCAGTTATCTGTGTTTGTTATGTACTATAACTATTGTTCTTTATTTCATACTACGTGGCAATAAAAAGATCGTTGTTTGCGTTTTGTATATACAATTTTGTGCATGTGGGTATCAGAAAGATGTTGGACTTTAAGGTGAAGACAAAATTTGATCTTTCTCCATCATACATAACCTTCTGCATGATTTTGGGCACAATAAGATTAATGCAAGTAGACACTTTGAATTGGTAATAATGACAGCAAAATGCAGTAACATTATAATTGGACTTTACTTGGTTTTGGCATCTTTATAATTGGACTTTACTTGGTAATAATGACAGTAAAATGCAGTAACATTATGATTTTGGGCACAATAAGATTAATGCAAGTAGACACTTTGAATTGGACTTTACTTGGTTTTGGCATTTTATGTTGAATATTTAACTTAAGTAATTCATTTAGTTGACTTTTACATCTTTATATATACTATTGCATCTTTAATACTTTATTGGGTGGGTTTTGTTTTTTTTTTTTTTCAACGTGCACCTTGCTTCAGTCGGGCGCGCGCCTCGCCTTGCGCCTTGCGCCTCAGGCTCCAGGAGGCATTTGCGCTTTTGTGCGCCTTGAGCCTTTAACAACTATGGTTGCTGTTAAAACGGCTTCACCCCACAAATACTTAGGAACATTCATTGAAAACAGGATGGCACGAGAAACTTCAAGTAAATGTTTATTCTTTCTTTCAGCAATTCCGTTTTGTTGGGGCGTGTCAACACAAGTGGATTGGTGAAAAATTCCTTTTTCTATTAAAAAACTTCCTAAAACTTCATTAAAGTATTCGGTGCCATTATCAGTATGAAGAATGCCAATTTTTGTTTGAAATTGATTTTCAATCATCATATAAAAATCCTTGATTAATTTTTCAACCTCAGATTTTTCATTCATTAAATACACCCAACACAAACGTGTATGATCATCAATAAAAGTCACAAACCATATTTTTCCAGAAAGAGTTGTGATCCTAGAAGGCCCCCAAACATCACCATGGATTAAATAAAATGGTTTTGATGTTTGGTAAGGTTTGGGAGAATACGTAGTACGATGACTCTTTGATAAAAAACAATTCTCACAATAAAAAGATGAACAATCCAATCCTTTAAACAAAGTAGGAAATAATTTTTTAAGATAAGGGAAACTAAGATGCCCTAGTCTAAAATGCCATAGCATTATTTGTTCTCTAATAAGGATAGAACGAAAACTACTCAGACCTTGAGCCTTTTTATTACTTGAATTATCATCTTCAAAATAGTAGAGACCATCTATCATCTTAGCACTGCCAATCATCTTCCCCAAGCTCTGGTCCTGAAATTCACAATAGGATTCAAAAAAGATAACACGACAATTAGAGTCTTTGGACAATTTACTAACTGATAAAAGGTTACAAGCAAGCTTAAGGACATAAAGGACAGACTTAAGATCAATAATTTTTAAAAGTTTTACCAAACCTTTGCCTACAATAGGAGAATAAGAACCATCGGCTATTCCGATTTGTTTAGAGCCAGGGTGAATAAGTTTGAAATAAATGAGAAAAACTTGTCATATGGTTAGAAGCCCCTGAATTTGAACGACAAGATAAGGCCTTCAGGTTGTTACCTGTTTGAGCAAGAGAAGCAATAGGAGTACCAGATGAGAAATTGAATTTTAGCAATTTTAGAAGATGATCCATCTGTTCTTTGCTGAAGGGAAGTGCCCCGGCTTCATGAGCTGATGGGGCTCAGTTGAATCTGCCTTCCTAGTTGAATCCAGTGTTATTAAAGGCTCAAGGCGCACCAAGGCGCTAGAGGTCCCCTGGAGCCTAAGAGCGAGGCGTGCGCCTGAGCGAAGAAGTGAGGCGCACAATGAAAATTTAAACTACCATAACATTCATATCAATATTCTAAAAATTAATATCAAATATAAAAAAGTAAATCCATCAACTATACAAGCATTCAACAACTATAAAACATAGCACAAATTTGTTTTCTTGAAAGGCAAAGCAAATTGTGTTTTTTTGAATGGCAAAACAAAGCATAAAAAGAAATAAATATGTTAACAAAAAAAAAAAAAAAAATTTGTTAACAAGAAAAAAAGAAAAAAGAAAAAACAGAGGCAAAAAAAGAAATAGAAAAAAGAGAGAGAGAGAGAGAGAGAAGAGAACTAGATGAAGAGAGAGATGTAAACAAAGATAAGAAGAGATGAGAGATCTAGAGGAGAAAGGAGAAAAAAACAAAGAAAAAAAGAAAGAAAGAAAGAACTGACGTGGCTTCGTCGTTCATCTCTGCAACTAGGGCTTCGTTTTCGTCTCACAATCTCATTCTATCGTTGTTCGGTTAACACTTTGACTTTTGGGCATTCTTATTTTGTTATTCTTTTGAACAAAAGTTCCTTCTATAATATGATTGAACTTTCTTTTTTGTTTATTAAGTTGCCAAAAGTACCCTTTTTGGCTTAAGAAATAGAACAATCGTATTTTTTAAAACAAATATCAGTGAGGCGCACCTAGGCGCATTTCACACACAAGACGAGGCGCAACCGAGGCGCGCGCCTAGTAAACATCAGTGAGCCTGGGATGACAATAGGCGCTAAACCTGAGCATCACGCCTAGGCGCGCCTTTAACAACACTGGTTGAATCTGCCTTCCTGCTTACTCTTCTAATTCGCTGGTTTACCATGATTTTTCCAGCAGGTTTCACGGGTATGGCGAGGCTTGTTGCAGTGGTCACACCAAAGACGGGACTTTTCATCATGTTTCCTGCCAATATTCGCTTCAGATGCGACCAGGGCAGAGGTCTCAGTAGCACCGTTTGATAA